ACTATATACACGAATTTATACATTATATATAATTTTATACAAGCATTCTACACTATGTTTAATGCTATATAAAAATATTATACACACTATGTATATATTTATACACGTTATGTACAAGTATTATACAAACTATTCATAAATATTATACACTCTGAATAAATTTATATATACTATGTACAAGTTTGTATAAGCTATATATATAAGAATTAAAAATACTATATACAAGCATTATATACGCTCTATAAAAGTATTATACACACTACATATAAATTTAAACAAGCATTTTGCATACTAAGTAGAAGTTTATACATGTTATTTATAAATAATATGCATAAATTATACATGTTTATACACACTATATAAAAGCATTATACATATTAAGTATAAGTTTGTACACACTATGTATAAGCATTATAAACACCATGTTTAAGTTTTATACACATTATGTACAAGTTTTACATGTAATATACAAATATTATACACATTATATATAAGTTTATACACGATTTGTACAAGCATTTCATACAATATAAATAAAAATTATACATACTATGTATAAGTTTATACACGATATATATATACATTTTATATAATATGTATATGGTATGTATAAGTATTATATACACTATGTACAAGTTTATACATGCTATGTACAAATATTATACATGAATTATATAAGTTTATACACGCTATGAACATGTATTTTACACACTCTGTACAAGTTTATATATGATATGTACAGGTATTATACACATTATTTATAAGTTTATACACGTAATATATAAGTTTATACACACTATGTTCAAGTTTATATATGCTATATACAAGCATTATACACACTATGTATATGTTTGTAAACACTATATATAAGCATTATAAAAGCTATGTAGAAGTTTGTACATGCAATATGCAAGCATCATACATATTATGCACAAATTTATATAAATATTATAGATGCTATGTAAAAGCGTTATACACACTATGTACAAGTTTGTACAAGCATTATACATAATATGTTCAAGTTTATTCAAACATTATACATATGCTACGTACAAGTATTATACGGACTATGTGTAAGTTTATACATGCTTTTTTTAAGGATTATACATACCATGTATAAGTTTATACATGATATATATATAACTTTTACACACTATGTGCAAGTTTATAAATGCTATGTATAATGTTTATACATACTATATGTAAGTTTATAACCGCTATATACTTAATTTTTACACACTATTTGATACTTTATACACGCTATGTACAAGCATTATACATGCTTTGTATAAGTATTATACATATATTATAAATACTATGTATAAGTTTTATATACAATATGTATAAGTTTTACATGCAATTTACAAGTATTATACACATTATATACAAGTTTATAAATGTTATATATAAGCATTATAAATACTGTGTACATGGTATCTATAAGTATTATACACACTATATACATATTTATAAAAGTATTATAGATGATATGTATAAGTATTATACACACTATATACAAGTTCATACAAGCATTATACACACTGTGTACAAGTTTATTCAAATATTATACACACGTTATATACAAGCATTATATAGACTACGTACAAGTTTATACACATTATGTATATAAATTATACAAACTATGAATAAGTTTATGCACATTATGTTCAATTTTGTACACACTATGTATAAGGATTATTTACATATTGTATAAGTTTATACACGCTAAATACATAATTTTTACATACTATATGCAAATTTATACCTGCTATGTATAAGGTTCATATATACTATGTATAAGTTTATAAATGCTATATATACAGTTTTTACACACTTTATGCAAGTTTATACATGTTATGTACAAACATTAAATATATTACGTACAAGTATTATACATATTATGTATAAATTTATATAAATAATATACATGTTATGTACAAGTTTATACATGCTATGTATAAATGTTATGCACATTATGTATAAGTTTATTCACATTATGTAAAAGCATTATACACTTTACGTACACGCTATATACGAGCTTTGCACACACTATTTACTTGAATTATACATATTATATATAAGTTTATAAAAGCTTTCTACACTACTTTCAATGCTATATGCAACTATTATATACACTATGTACATATTTATATATGCTATGTACAGGCATTATACACACTATTTATAAGTTTTATATACTCTGACTAAGTTAACATACACTATGTACTAGTTTATATAAACTATATATAAGCAATGTACATGCTATATACAAGTAATATATACGCTATATAAAAGTATTATATAGACTACATATAAGTTTTTATAAGCATTATATATAATATGTAGAAGTTTATACATGCTTTCTATATATAATATACATACTATGTACAAATTTATACATGCTATGTACAAGTATTATACATTATATATATATATATATATATATATATATTTGTACACACTATGTATAAGTATTATAAACACTTTATACAAATTTTATACACACTATGTACAAGTTTTACATACAATATATAAGTATTATACACACTATGTACAAGTATATAAATGCTATATAAAAGTATTATACACACTACATAAAAAATTTAAATATGCATTTTGCATATTATAAAGAAGTTTATACATATTATTTATAAATAATATACACAAATTATATAAGTTTATAAATGCTATATAAAAGCTTTACACATATTAAGTATAAGTTTGTACACACTATGTATAAACATTATAAACACTATGTACTTGTTTTATACATACTATGCACAAGTTTTACATGTAATATACAAGTATTATACACACTATGTATAAGTTTATACACGATATGTACAAGCATTTTACATAATATAAATAAGAATTATACATACTATGTATAAATCTATACACGCTATATATGTGTAAGGATTATTTACACATTCTATAAGTTTATACACGCTACATACATAATTTTTACACACTATATGTAAGTTTATACATGTTATGTATAAGGCTTGTATATACTATGTATAAGTTTATAAATGCTATATATGTAGTTTTTACACATTATGTGTAAGTTTATACACACTATATACAAGCATTAAATATACTATGTACAAGTATTATACATAATATGTATAAATTTATATAAATAAGGTACATGTTATATACAAGTTTATGCATGCTATGTTTAAGCATTATGCACATTATGTATAAGTTTATTCACGTTATGTACAAACATTATACACATTACGTACACGCTATATACAAGCATTGCACACACAATATACATGAATTATACATATTATATATAAGTTTATACAAGTATTCTATACTATGTTCAATGCTATATACAAGTATTATATACACTATGTATAAATTTATATATGTTATGTACAAGCTTTATACACACTATTCATAAGTATTATATACTCTGACTAAGTTAGTATACACTATGTATAAGTTTATATAAGTTAGATATAAGTATTGTACTTGCTATATACAAGCAATATACACGCTATATAAAAATCTTATACATACTACATATAAGTTTATACAAGCATTATGGATACTATGTTGAAGTTTATACACGCTATCTATCTATAATATATACACTATATACAAATTTGTACATGCTATGTATAAGTTTGTACACACTATGTATAAATATTATAAACACTATGTACAAATTTTATACACACTATGTATAAGTTTTATATGCATTAATCAAGTATTATACACACTATATACATGTATATACACAAAATGTATAAGCATTGTATACACTATAAATGAGAATTATACACACTATATATAAGTTTATACACACTATATATAAGTATTATACACACTATGTATATGGTAAGTATAAGTATTATACAAAAACCTTCTACTTGGACAACTCAAATTAAGCTTAGAGCCTTTCTAATTATCCCCTAAACCAAGCCTAAGTAATGGTTCAACCAAAAATGGCAAGATGTGGTCCCCTCCCAATAAAAGCACAAACCCAAGTCATTCTCAAGCATGTAGCCTTTACCTCTACCTCTAACCACCTGGGATAGGTATTAGGCTTTAGAGAGAGAGCTCTAATCAATCCCTACCATCCAAATAAACCGTAGTGCTTGCAATGGTCAAAAAGTCATATAAACTATCATTCTAAGAAACTCATTCTTCAAGCATCCACCAGCCCAAGAGTTATCTTCCTCTACATCTCTAGAGCTCCTTATACACTTCCCAAGCATTTTTACACCATTCCTTAGATCCCAAACTCCCCATTTGATAGGAAAGAGAAAAAAGAGGAAAATGATAATTTTAAGATATCTTTCAAACAATTGCATACCAACTCTTAGAGTGTTTTGTAAAGTTGAAGAGGACTTCTCCAAGAGCAAAATAAGCCCAAGAATGAGAAATTCCATCCATCGATTGGAGCATTATTCTCATTTTAAGTTTAAATTTTATTTTTAATCTACTCTAAATTATCATTTCATGGAGCCTCAAAACACTAGCCATTGAAATATTAGAATTCCTAGAGCTTATGTTTCAAATTTCACCAAATTTGGACAAGTATTTTGAAAGTTATGAGCAATTAGATTTTTTTAGTTCATTTTGAATAAAAATTGACTTGGTTTGACTAAAGCCAACCAATCAAGTGTTTGGTGTGATTGGATGGCCCATAAATTGCCATGCTCCTAATCAAAACTACACGTTTCCCTTGAGATTTGAACCCTGGCCAATTTTAACTGCACATGTTTTTGTGGCCTATCTTGGGCCCACAGATTATCCCTCGAGATTGATGTACTTAATGATATTTTGCTATTAGATAAAAGTTTGGACAAATGGCCAGTGAATGCTGATTGTTTGGGATTGGAAGGTTTAAAGCTCAATCATTTTATTGATCCAAACGGAAGATGGAATGTAAATGAGCTGCAGTGCTATTTAATGAAGATCTAATCTCTGTTATTTTGCAAATTAACATTGATACTGAACAACCTAAGGATTTTCTGGAAGAAATGTGTTCTTTATCAGGTAAATCCATTACTGCTCGTGCGTATGAAGCCCAATACAGCGGAAAACAATGTGAAGAAGTCTCAGGTTTTGCGAGTTGGCTTAAACAGCTGAAGCTCACTGCACGAGCAGAACTTTTTCGGTGGAGGTTGAGCAGAGGAGAAATCCAACCAAATGAAATTTTGAAATACAGGAAAATTAATAATGATGATCAATGTGTTCGTGGTTGTGGGGATATTGGAAATCTATCACATATTATTGTAAACTGCAAGTATCTGCAGGAGGTGCTGAAGAAAATTCAGGAATGGGGTTTCTTTGTTCCTATTTTTAATTCTCTGGATGAATGTTTAAGTGAGTTCAAAAGTCTTTCGAGGATTGCACCTAATATAGTTACTCTATATTGTAATGCTGTATTCATATATTGGAAAAACAGAAATGATATAGCTCACGGGAAAACAGTGAACACTGTCTCTGCAACGGCAACAAATGTGATATCTACGGATTTTTTATCTTCTTGTCCTCTCTTAGCTAGCTGGGGTGCTAATCTCCCTTGGGAGTTTCAAAGTTTTTGGCACCCTCCACCGCAGGGATGGATCAAGATCAATGTAGATGCAGCTCTCTTACTATCTTATAATGTTGGAATTGGTGGCTGTTTTAGAGATGATAAAGGCAGGATTTTAGTGGCTTTTGGGGAAAATAGAACTCATTGGGACATTGCCAATCTAGAACTGGAAGCGGTGATGGCAGTTAAGAAGTACTTACAACCGTGGATGATGGATTACAAAGGACTTATAATTGAAGGGGACAACATCAATGTGATCAAATTCATTCAAAATTCTATGAATAAGGCAAAGTGGCAAAGCTACAATCGGATAGAGGAAAATCTTCTATTCTTAACCGACTTTAATAAGGTAATCTTCAACCATATATATAGAAATTTTAATAGAGTAGCAGACATGTGTGCTACCTTGGCTTTAGATAGTAACTTTTGTTTTGATAGTTATTCTTTTGATAGCATTCCTTCTTCTCTAGGCTCTCTTTTGAAGAAGGAATGTGAACACTTGACTTAGTTGTATCTTGTTTTTTTTTTTTTTTTAATAAAAAAAAAAAAAAAAAAAGATTATCCCTCGAGAAATCAAATGGTTAGATTAACTATTTGATGTGGTTAATTGGTGCATAATGGCATGACACATATCCTACCACATGTTGAACCACCATGGTGATGGCGTAATCATTTTTGTCACGAAATTTCCATTAAATTGAATTAAAAATTCAATTTAATACCCATAACTTCCAAAATTCACAAAAATCCAAATCTTCATGAAATTGAGTGTTTTTGGAATCATTGGAAAGGGCTTGAGATATACTATTTTCTAAAAATATTCGAAGTAATTTGATCATTTTAAAAAAGAACAACCAATATTTCATTAATGAAGTTTATAGTATGGAATTCCTGAATATATGGGGCTAGGTGTCTTAAAGAGGCCTTATTCCTCGTGCCCATTGTGATAATGCAATGAACAATTTTGATGGAATGTAAATCATAAACCATAAGCTTAATAAATCATTAATAAGATAATAACAAATTTAGAAAACTTCATCTAGCCAACTAAATCAAACCTGAACCGAAAGATAACAATTGGTTATCCTGGGCCTATGAGGCTATTAAGTTAGCCCAAAGGTGGGTGAAATAAATCTTACAGCACTGGTGTAAACCATGATAGTTATTATTCAACCTAAATAATTAATAATTAAATATCAATAAATAGGAGCCTTTAAACCTTGTGCTAGACTCCTTCTAGAGAGTGTAAGTTTATTGAATTTTAAGGCTCAATGATTAAATACCTAATTAAAATTTAAGAATTTAAATAAATAATAATTAATCAACTTTAATACTTAAAAATTCATTCAGAACAACAACAACAACAACAAGCCTTCATCCTACTATGTGGGGTCGACTACATGAATCCTTTTTCTCCATTATACTCAATAAATTCTTATTTATATTTAATAAAAAGATCATTTCTAATATTTTCTAACCAAGAATTTTTAGGTCCACCTCTACCTTACTTAATATAAGCCAAATATAATACATCTACTTTCCTAACTGGGTCATTAAAATGCCACCATTTTACATGACTAAACCATCTAGGGCGACTCAATCTTATCTTCCACTAGAGCTACTCAAATATTTTCAGGTATATGCTAATTTTTTATCCTATCTCTAATAATAAAACCACTAATCCACTTAAGAATCCTCATTTCTACAGCATTTAAGTTAATATTATACTTCTTTTTTAATGACCAACATTCTTCACCATAAAGCATTATAGGTGTCACTTCCATCTTATAGAATTTCCCCTTAAATTTGAGAGGGATTTTTCTATCACAAAATAAGCCCGATGCTTTCCTCCACATCAACTATCCAACTTAAATTCTACTAATAATATCCCCATCTATTTCACCATCACTCTAAAAAGTATACCCAAGATATCTAAAATGTGTATGCTTATTAATGACTTCATCACCCAAAGTCACAATCCCCCTACTAGATATATTATTACTAAATTCTACTCAATATATTCAATTTTAGATCTACTGAAATGAAAGCCTTTATACTTTAAATTTGACCATCAAATTCATTCTAAAATGAATAGGAAAATACAAGGACTTATCCTCAAATTAAACTCCCTTAACATACAACAAATCATAATAAAGCATTATAAAACTTCAAATAATAACCAACTTAGGATATATCCAAATCATACAACCTATTGCACACACTATAGAAGGCTTCTTAGGACAACAAAAATTTTAATGGAGGATGTTATTTCTTGTTGAACTATCCTTAGGCATACTGGAAGGGAGTTGGGGTGAATTAGTTGTTTTATAAATTTCTTTAACATAATATATTTTTTTAAAATTTTTTAATAACTTAAAACAAACAATGTTATTACCGAATATAGAAGAAACTTAATGAAATAAAAATATAATAACGGTGATGATGAGTTACTAAATTCAATATATCATCAAATACAAAAATTTTCTTGCATGTAATTATTAAGAAAAATAAATTATATAAAAGTAAAATATAGAAAATAAAAATTAGAATAAATACACCAAATTTTATGGTGGTTCGATCAAGAAATGACCTTCATCCACTCCCTCGAGTACTCCTTTCAAGGTATTGCACTAAAATATTAGTGTCTCTCATTTCTCCCTAATAGCTAGGCAAATAAGCCCTTACAATCTTTTCACAAAACCTTGTCTGCTAGAGAAACTTGCCTCTTTTCACCCTCCTAGTAAAGGTAGAGAACCTTGAACTTCTTTTTCACCCTTCTAGTGAAGCCAGAGAACTTTCCAATCCTATTTCACCCTCCTAGTGAAGGAAGATATCCTTGAAGATCTTCAGGTTGATGTTCTTCTTCTTAGAGCTACCCAAAAAATATAGAATTAAACTTGGAGGAAAAAAGGTAGAATCTTATTTAGATCAATAGTGTTGAATCCCCTCACACTCTTCTCTTACACACAACCTCTCATTTCTTCTACCTAAAGCTCTTCAAGATATCTCTTAAAACTCTCTCTCCAAAAAACCCAATAGCCAAAAGACTTAAAATAAGTCTATAAAGAGAGCTTAAATACAAGGCTTTACATAAACCCTAATAATTCAATTCTATCAACACTAATCATACAGTATGATCACAGATCTTACATCATGATTTATTTAAACATCCCTATTAATACTATATGAAGAATAATATGCTGAATAATTAGTTTAAGTATTTGAGTTGCTCTTCTAATATGATATAAGGAATTATCTAATACGATTAGTTAAATTGAATTGGATTATCATTCCATATAATTGGCAATGATTAATTATCATATTATACAATGATCATGTTATACAATATGATTAGTCCAATCGTACAAGATGATCTAACTAGATTAATTAGTCCCAATTTGATCCCCTAATTAGATAATATTTAATTATACTGTACATCACGATGGGTATCATATGGTAAAATTAGTACAAATTTTGAATTTCAAAATATTATCTAAAATATGATTGGCGGGTGAGAACTTGATTTTTACTGATCGTCATGTATGATATGAATCATATATAGTATACAACAACAACAACAACATCAAGCCTTTGTCCCACTACGTGGGGTTGACTACATGAATCCTTTTTCGCCATTGTGTTCGGTTCAAAGTCAAAATCTCATCTAAATCTAATAAAGAAAGGTCATTTCTAATATTTTCTAACCAAGTATTTTTAGGTCTACCCCTACCTTTCTTAACATAAGCCAAATCTAATACCTCAACTTTTCTAATCGGGTCATCGGAAGGCCTCCGTTTAATGTGACCAAACCATCTAAGGCGACTCTCTCTAATATAATCTTCCACTGTGTGTGTGTGTGTGTGTGTGTGTGTGTGTGTGTGTGTGTGTGTGTGTGTGTGTGTGTGTGTGTGTGTGTGTGTGTGTGTGTGTGTGTGTGTGTGTGTGTGTGTGTGTGTGTGTGTGTGTGTGTGTGTCCATGGTCACAATGTTTAGCATCCACCAAGTGAGAATGCACAAAATATAAGACTTCGAATCAATAAAAGTAGAGTTAAATAAAAGTAAAAATATAAACTCTTAAGGAACCACAAACCTATTATACGAAATCTTGTGTTAATCACTTTGCGCAGTATACGACGGACCTAAAAATTTATTGTATAAGAAAAAATAACTAATAATAATAATAATAATACATATGACATAAAGATAACCCAATTGTTGGTGGAATTTTTGAAAATAGGTTTTGAAAAAGTATTAGTTTTCTTTGGAAATCTCAAAATTAAAGTTTAATTCTAAATCTAAAGTCGAATCAACCCGGTAGAAAAAGTATATCACCCCAAAGGATGAGAATAAAATTTCATAACGGTGTTCAGACTTAGAATTATGGAACTCATCTTGAATATCATGACCAGATTCTAAAGAGAACTTCGTATGGCCCCGAGGGAAAAAAGTGAAGTTCAACTAAATATGTAATTATAATATTCAAGAAGTATGATCGTCGATTTCACATCCAAAGTCTTATCAAAGAAGGATGTATCTCCCCAAAGGGAGATAACACCATTCGATGATAATCCTTCTAATGTAATGACAATGATCATTTTTATTTTTCCCAAGGAAGTCTAATAAAATTTTGGAAAAATCAATTTAAAATCAGGTGCGTGTGTGGTTCCAAATCTCCTACGAGCGCAAGCCCTTGTAGTTAATTATATCGTAGGGAGATAGAGTCCCCTACAGAAACTCTCGATTAAAATAGTGATGGAATTTTGTTAGATTTTGTAAGAGTGATATAAAAAATGAATGGAGTTTAGAAAATCAAAAAGGGAATGTTTCAAGATTGAACATTATTAACAAAGTCAAGGGAAGAGAGGTAGGGGACACTTTGAGATTCCAAAACCATTCAGAAGTGTCCCAACTTAATCTAAGTGTTAGGCTTTATGTTTTAGGATTGAAATGAAGCTTTAATTAGAGTTGAGCATTTTATTAGAAATTTGGATTATATTCCCAAAATTTGGGGTCTTATAATAAAAAATTTGCCCCAAATCCTAGATCTAATTTGGACACTGGACCACCGTCATCCGAACCTAACTAATGTAGTGCAAGATTTGGACTTACCCTGGCCTGGATTGGGGAGCCAGCTAACCACCTAGATGATTTAAAATATATGAGTTTAGTCTTTTATGAACGAGTGGTAGGGATGTTGTATTTAAAGTTTTGGAGAGTTGGGGCCGACATCTAGAGATTTTTCTAATTGGCCCCTTTGACTTATGTTGGGTGCAAAAAAGCTAAGGACTAACACAATTAAAATTTTGACTCTTTAGGTATGTTTCTAATGCAATGCATACTGGTTGACAACTTCAAATCAAATATGCTTGAAAATTTAAAAACAGGCTTAGAAAATAATTTTTTAGAAGACTGGACTTCCCATAGTCCGGTACCTCGTCCTCATAGGTCAGACTATCCAGACTCTACCCACAGGCGGGGAAGGGTCTAAAGCAAGG